CAGAACTACAAAGGTATCTAATCTTCTTTGAGCCTCTGACTTTCGTTCTTGGTTAAGGGAAACATTCTTGGCAAATGCTTTCGCAGTGGGTCGTCTTCCGACGGTCCAAGAATTTCACCTCTAGCGTCGGAATACGAATGCCCCCGTCTGCTCCTATTAATCATCACCTCGGTCTCCGTCTGTCCCCGAGGACCTAGATCCGAAGTCATGTTCCATCGTACCGTGCATTACTATTCGAGCCTGGGTGAGCCCGCTTGAAGCACTCTAATTTTTGCAAAGCGATAACCGCCGACCACCGAGGGCCGACCGGTGAAAACCGACCCCCGAGTGGCGAGCAGAATGCCGGGTGCGCATGGCGGACCGCGCGAGCGGCCCCCTACGTCCAGAGCAGACATCCAACTACGAGCTTTTTAACTGCAACAATTTTAGTATACGCCACTGGAGCTAAAATTACCGCAGCGGCTGGCATTAGTCTTGCCCTCCAGTAGGTCCTCGTTAGAGGGTTTAGAGCGTACTCATTCCGACGACTGGGTCTCGTAGAGTCCAGCGTCGTTATTTTTCGTCACTACCTCCCCGAGCCGGGATTGGGTAATTTGCGTGCCTGCTGCCTTCCTTAGATGTGGTAGCCGTTTCTCAGGCTCCCTCTCCGGAATCGAACCCTGATTCCCCGTCACCCGTGGCGACCACGGTAGGCGCATCACCTACCGTCGACAGTTGATAAGGCAGACACTTGAAGGATGCGTCGCCGGGTCGAGCCCGTGCGATCCTTCCGCCTTCCTGCGGTTTGGATATCTAAAAAATATCGAAAGGGGGCAACAGCAGCGCCCTTCCTACGGATTCCTTCTTCGTCCCATAACTCTTTAACGGAGAGAGCTATCCTTAAATAAGTTATATATTAAGAAAGGTCTCTTCGAGTACTTTAAGAATATATATATTTTTAACGACTGTGTCGAACAGGACGAGAGAAATCGAGAAAACCTAAAATTAAGATTTTCGTTAATAAAAAGAACCGCTCGTAGGAATATTAATAAAAATATATTAAATGTGCCCCGAGATGGGCTTCGTTTTAAAAAATTGTATTTTTAAGTCAATTTACAAAAAGTTACAGTGGATAAAAATTCTATAAAAAAGATACACACCTGACACCTGGCGGAGGAGAGCTACGAGTGAGATGTGTCCGACTTGGAAACTCCACAGCGCCCCAACTTACCGACCGATTCTCTCGAAGTCGATATCCCCGCGTAGGTCTCGGCGTGCTCTTTCTTCCGAGTCCCCGTTCGCGATACTGTGTTTTCCGGGAGAAACGCGAGGAAGAGAAAACTCTAAAACAACATATTTACTAATAAAAAAAGAACCGCTCTGAGGATCATTAAATAAAAATATACTAAAGGTGCGCCCCGAGATGGGCTTTTTTTTAAAAAAAAAATTGTATTTTTAAGTCCGCGGAGAAAAAAGTTATAGCACGATAAAGTTCTGTAAAAAAAAGACTACCCTGACACCTAGCGGTGGCGAGTTCTTACGTCAAAAGACTTTAAAATTCCACACCGCGCCAACTTACCGAGCGATTTTCTCGAAACGTGTATCCCCTGATAGGTCTCGGCGTGCTCTTTTTTTCGAGTCCGAATTCTTGGACATTGTGAAAAAGGGGGCCACGTGAGGGCCCCTTCTACGCGATCACTCTTTATTTTTTAAACGCTTTGCTTTTATAGATAAAATTCAATACTACACCTCGTTCGAAAGGTCTCCGAGAGTACTTTCGGAATAGGTAGGAGTCCCCTTCGTTTTAAGAAAAAGCAGAGTTCGAATAATTTTTTTTTCTCGTTTTCTATAAGAAATTCATCTTTCCCATTTATCTCATAGATAGAATCGAATGAAATACCTCATTCGAAAGGTCTTTCTTAGTACTTTAAGAATATATTCATTCCACGATTTTGTCTTTCGGGAGGAAAAAACAAATCAATGAAAACTCGCAAACCAACAATTTTATTAATAAAAAAAGAACCGCTCGACTGAATATTAATAAAAAATACACTAAATGTGCACCCTATGATGGGCCTTCTTTTAAAAAAAAAATTGTATTTTTAAGTCCATGGAGAAAAAAGTTATAGTATGATAAAGTTCTGTAAAAAAAAAGACTAACCCGACACCTAGCGGTGGCGAGTTCTTACGTCAAAAGACTTTAAAATTCCACACCGCGCCAACTTACCGAGCGATTTTCTCGAAACGGATATCACCTACTAGGCCTCGGCGTGCTCTTTTTTTTAAGTGCTAATTCTTGGACATTGTGAAAAAGGGGGCCACATTAGGGCCCTTTCTACGTAATCACTCTTTATTTTTTAAACGCTTTGCTTTTATAGATAAAATTCAAAAATATACCTCGTTCGAAAGGTCTTCGAGAGTACTTTGAGAATATATAGGAGTCCTCTTCATTTTAAGAAAAAGCAGAGTTCGAATAATTTTTTTTCTCGTTTTCTTTAAGAAATTCATTATTCCCATTTATCTCATAGATAGAATCGAATGAAATACCTCATCGGAAAGGTCTTTCCGAGTACTTTGAGAATATACTAATTCCACGATTTTGTCTTTCGGGAGGAAAAAAAAAATCAAAGAGAACGCGAAAACATCAATTCTGTCCATAAAAAAAGAACCGCTTCGAGAATTATTAAATAAAAATATACTAAATGTGCACCCTAGGGGGCGCTTTTTTAAAAAAAAAATGTATTTTTAACTCCGTCGGGACAAAAGTTATAGTACGATAAAGTTCTATAAAAAAGATACACACCTGACACCTGGCGGAGGAAAGCTAGGAGTCAGTCGTGTCCGACTTCAAAACTCCACAGCGCCCCAACTTACCAAACGATTCTCTTGTAGTCGATATCCCCGCGTAGGTCTCGGTGTGCTCTTTCTTTTGAGTCCCCATTCGCGATACTGTGTTTTCCAGGAGAAACGCAAGGAAGAGAAAACTAGAAAACAACAATTTTATTAATAAAAAAACCGCTCGACCGAATATTAATAAAAAATATATTAAATGTGCGCCCCGAGATGGGCTTTTTTTTAAAAAAAAAATTGTATTTTTAAGTCCATGGAGAAAAAGTTACAGTAAGATAAAGTTCCACGAGAGAAAGAGTACCCCGACACCTAGCGGTGGCGAGTTCTTACGGCACGAAACTTTAAAATACCACACCGCGCTAACTTACCGAGCGATTTTCTCAAAACGCATATCCCCGAATAGGTCTCGGCGTGTTCTTTTTTTTAAGTCCTAATTCTTGGACATTGTGACAAAGGGGGCCACATTAGGGCTTTTTTTAAGAATTCTTTCTTTATATTATAAATAAGTAAATGTTATAGATAAAATTTAAAAATATACCTCGTTCGAAAGGTCTTCGAGGAGTCCTCTTCATTTTAAGAAACAGAAGAGTTCGAATAATTTTTTTTTCTCGTTTTCTATAAGAAATTCATTATTCCCATTTATTTTATAGATAGAATCGAATGAAATACCTCATTCGAAAGGTCTTTCTTAGTACTTTAAGAATATATTCATTCCACGATTTTGTCTTTCGGGAGGAAAAAAAAAATCAGAGAAAACTCGCAAACCAACAATTTTATTAATAAAAAAAGAACCGCTTGGAGGATTATTAAATAAAAATATACAAAACGTGCGCCCCGAGATGGGCTTTTTTTTAAAAAAAAAATTGTATTTTTAAGTCCGCGGAGAAAAAAGTTATAGCACGATAAAGTTCTGTAAAAAAAAGACTACCCTGACACCTAGCGGTGGCGAGTTCTTACGGCACAAAACTTTAAAATTCCACACCGCGCCAACTTACGGAGCGATTCTCTCGAAACGGGTATCCCCTGATAGGTCTCGGCGTGCTCTTTTTTTTCAGTCCTCATTGTTGGACATTGTGAAAAAGGGGGCCACGTTAGGGCCCTTTCTAGGAAATAACTCTTTATTTTTTAAACGCTTTGCTTTTATGGATAAAATTCAAAAATATACCTCGTTCGAAAGGTCTCCGAGAGTACTTTCGGAATAGGTAGGAGTCCCCTTCGTTTTAAGAAAAAGCAGAGTTCGAATAATTTTTTTTTCTCGTTTTCTATAAGAAATTCATCTTTCCCATTTATCTCATAGATAGAATCGAATGAAATACCTCATTCGAAAGGTCTTTCTTAGTACTTTAAGAATATATTCATTCCACGATTTTGTCTTTCGGGAGGGAAAAAAAATCAAAGAAAACTCGCAAACCAACAATTTTATTAATAAAAAAAGAACCGCTCGACCGAATATTAATAAAAAATACACTAAATGTGCACCCTATGATGGGCCTTCTTTTAAAAAAAAAATTGTATTTTTAAGTCGATTTACAAAAAAGTTACGGTAGGATAAAGTTCCGTAAAAAAGATACACACCTGACACCTGGCGGAGGAAAGCTACGAGTGAGATGTGTCCGACTTCGAAACTCCACAGCGCCCCAACTTACCGACCGATTCTCTCGAAGTCGATATCCCCGCGTAGATCTCGGTGTGCTATTTCTTTCGAGTCCCCATTCGCGATACTGTGTTTTCCAGGAGAAACGCAAGGTAGAGAAAACTAGAAAACAACATTTTTATTAATAAAAAAAGAACCGCTCGACCGAATATTAATAAAAAATATATTAAATGTGCGCCCCGAGATGAGCTTTTTTTTAAAAAAAAAATTGTATATTTAACTCCATTGGGACAAAAGTTATAGTAAGATAAAGTTCCACGAGAGAAAGAGTACCCCGACACCTAGCGGTGGCGAGTTCTTACGGCACGAAACTTTAAAATACCACACCGCGCCAACTTACCGAGCGATTTTCTCGAAACGGATATCCCCGATTAGGTCTCGGCGTGCTCTTTTTTTTTAAGTCCTAATTCTTGGACATTGTGAAAAAGGGGGCCACATTAGGGCCCTTTTTAAGAATTCTTTCTTTATATTATAAATAAGTAAATGTTATAGATAAAATTTAAAAATATACCTCGTTCGAAAGGTCTTCGAGGAGTCCTCTTCATTTTAAGAAACAGAAGAGTGAGACATAGCCATCCTGTGATGACCATGTCTTACCGGTTCCGCGTAAGCTAGAGGTGTGGGATTATCAAAATGATGAGACATAATTCTTAATACAACTTTTATTAAGAGTAACTTATAATACTTAAATTCTAATTTTGACAATTATTAATTAATTTGATTATTATTAATTTAAATCACGTATTTAAGTCAGATCACGCAACTGAATCCTTTATCTCAATTATAGTTAATAATCCTATGCATCTAATTACTTATATCTAATATTACCTTTCTCAGTCCTGGTTCCTTTACCTAGATAATGGTATCTATAAACTTTATTAACGAAGGTTCCAACTTCTTTATCCTAGGCTTCTATTCTTTCCAAAACTATCGGACTGTTAATTCTTGATGAGCAAGATTTCACACTAAGCTTTATCCACACTACAACCTCTGAGCCTGCTACGCTATATTATGCTATCACTATGCTATGTTTACCACTATATCCTTTTATAGTATATCTCATTTACATATTCGATCCGTTTCTCTTCTTGGTATTGGGTTGGAAAGGTTTTGCCATTAATCGTGGCCGTCAAAGAACATAGGAGTTATGTTAATCAGAAAGACGCGAGAGACGTCACAACCCCCTCCAAGAAGAAAAACGTGATTTACTTAATTTATTAAGGGCATTGAGAACCCTTAATAAATTACGTGTCTAAATCTCTATTTCTAAATTTCTTCGCTTTCTGAG